CCCCCCCCCCCCCCCCCAGAAAAAGGACCCCCAAACCCCTTTTGTTACAGCAGTTTTAAAGAGCTATATAATTAAGATGTATGCCCTATTATTGAGCAAGTAGCTCTGAATACAAGGCAATAGGAGTGAAATGCCAAACTTTTGCAGTCTGTCCTGCATGAGCAGGTGGATTTAGGATTGTTTAGTAGAAAACCTTGGTGGTGCTGAGTATTTTTGATGTAGCTTCCCAGCTGTTAATTGCCACATGGTAATGTATTATAAATTTGTTTACTGGAGCTATGTCCTCAAGTGATCATTTTTGTCTTCCTCATAGCTTGGGATCCTTATACTTTATCCTTCCTGGGTCTGTACCACTTGCATTCACCACAGGCCTTTGAAAATAAAAGTGTGGCCAAAGAGCCATACATTTGAGACTCCTGAAATACCATTCCACTCTAATCTAAATGTTACTTTCAGTACAGCCTGGGGCTGTGGCTTTCAGTTGCTGTGTATGAGCCATACTTCAGAAAATGGGGCATATTCCCTGCCTCACTGGGTCCAGCTGCTCCTGGCTGAGCGGGCTGCATCTGCTGCATCCTCAGGCTCCAGATTTAGACACTTAGTGCCAAAGTACCCATATTGCAGAGCCAGCATGGATTGTGCTGAGCTCCACACCTCATTTGCAATGTGATTGTGTCAGACAGGGGAGGCCTGCTTCTTTTGTTGGGAATTTCTGGATGAGCTTGAGAATTTTAGAAGAGAAGTCAAGTGCTTCCAGATAAAGTATGCCAATGGATATTCAGCACTCCTGGAATTTGGGCTGCATTTAAGAAAGAGGTAGATTATTATCATGCTATATCCAGTTCTGAAACTTCATCCATAAATGCTAGCATGCAGAAACTTTATTACACAGATATAAAAATACTTATTTAGTATTAGTAATTTTAACTGACAGCTGAGTTTATTTATTTGGAAGAAAGAACATCACAATTTTGTTATATGAACTTCTGCAGTCTGACTGTGGTGCATTTGATGTGTAATTAAGTAGACTGATGAAATTTGGGGTAAACTGAGAAAGGAAAGGTGTTCAATCTCTTTAGAATATAAACTTATCATCCTTGCAAGAGACCGAATCTGTGTTAGGCTCCAGTTAGTACTTCATGCTCTATAAGTTTGAATAACACTTGTCCCCTCAAAGCTGCTGAAGTATCTTGAATCACTTTTGTGTTTGTAGACTTTCCATGCATTATTTGGTTTGAGGTTCTTGCCCAGGGATGCTTTTCACAATTAGTTATTTCTGTGTTAGATTTTCTCATGCTGAGTTTGGATTGTATTCTTGTAAATTCCTAGGAGAAGGAGAGGGGAGGTTTGGTAAGCAGCTTTTTTTTTTTTCTTCCCCAAATATTTAGTTGGTCTCTGAGGATGTATCATCACCATGTAACGTAATTTTTATGCAGTGGGGTCAATCAGATGAGGTAGTGACTGTGAAGTCTGCACAGCAAACCTTTATTCTTGCAGTCTCCCATCTATTAATGGAGCCTGCCTGGATCAGTAACAGCTTCATCATCTCATAAACCAGATTACCTCACTGAGAGCATGGTGAAGGTCTCTGTTGAGTGGTTTTTGTTTTGAGGAGTCACACCTTAAGCAAAAGGTAATTTCCAGCAGAATCCATGTGATCTCAGACTTTAATAGCTTACAAAGTTAATGTGGTCAGAGAAGTGGATATACCATTAAAAAGTATAGTAAATTAATGAGTAAGTAAAACCCAGCTGTCCTTGCATGCCTAAACTTTTGGTAATGTCAAGACTGAAAGATCTGACTGCTATAAGGTAAAAGGCAAATGTGTTTTTAGATTGCTTTTCTGATAACTGGGCAATAATCTTACCTAAATTCTGCTGATAAAAAACTTGCTTCTGGCTTTAGTGGGCTTGGATTGCTCCTAAGGTGCTTATGTAGCACTAAATGGCATGTGGAGAAGTTTTGATGACATAAGAAAGATGCCCTGGTTTCTTAAAAAATTAATGCAGGTGGAACTTCCCGTCTATCAGTTTCTGCCCATTGCCACTCATCCTATTGCTTTGCACCACAACAGCAATAAAAAATACATTGAACAGATTTATTTTTCCAGGACTGATACAGTTGTAATCGTTGATAAATTGTTTCAATTGGAAGTGAACATGTGTAATTTTTTTGGTACTAACAGTGACTAATTTACTTTCTCCAAGCTCATGCTGTAGGAATTTTAAAATCACAGTTGAGAAGTGAAAGCTAAAAACATTCTAGCAGAGTTTACTGGTACTTATTTTTATACAGGTTACTTATAAGCACAGTTCAAAATGATGAGTGAAGAGTTGTGTGTGTTCCACCAGCAAAATATTGCTGGATAGGTTCTGAGAAGAAATAATAGCTCTGATCCTGCATCCTCTCTGCTGTGTCATATCTCCATCAGACTGCATCCATATCACTGTTGGGCTGTATTAGTATGGACAGTGTGTTAAATCTGCTTCACTACCCATTTTCTTGCTCAGCACTTTCACAGGATTTGGGACTACTTCAGTACTTCAGGAAAATGAAATGTGTCAGTGTTAAATATATACAAGTGCTTCTCTCTTCAGTCTTAAATATATACAAGTGCTTCTCTCTTTTATGATTTCAGCATTTCTTACCCTTCCAATATATGAATTCTGGCAGTTAGCCATGATTTTATCTTCCAGTCTGCTGGTGAAAACCATACTTACGTACTGCTCTGAAGTCAGCTCTGTGTCCATACATGGAAACTGTTCTTTAGCATTCAACAGAAATAAATCCTACTTGGTTAAAATATAATTTTCTACAAAATTTGTGTGTCTCCACATTAGCTAATAAATATAATAGCCCCTGAAAATCTTTGTCTTGGAAAGCTCTTAATGAATGTCAATTTGAGAAGACGTGTTAGTGCTGTTTTCTCATTAAGTTAGACCACATGGACCCAGTGCAGAACAGGAAAGCACAGTGGTTTGCTGTGGAGGAGGGGAGCTCTGCCCTTGAACTGTTTAAGCTATCTCTACATCTTCCTAGAGCTTGGGGTGCTTGAGGACAGCTGATGCCTCTGTTGCTCTTGTGGCAATTCACCTGCTTCTTCCCCGGCACCTGCTTCTTCCCCCAGTGCTCAACAGAGATAAGTTGTTTTAAAAAGAATACAAATTGTCCTGTTTTAAAAGAGCAAGCAACCAACCCTCCACCAAAACCACCACTACCACTAATAAAAAAAAACCTAGTAGGGGTGATTCAACAATTATGATCATATCTAAGTAGAAATAGAAATGTGAAAGAAGGAGAAAGAAAAGAAAGATACTATGTGTGACACTCCTAGCTTTGAAAAGATTTCTACATATAAATTCTCCACCCCCTTTAGCCTTGTTGGCAAGGTGCTATGCTCTGTTTTGAGGAGGGGTTTATGGATGGGACAGTGGATGCAAGAACAGTGAGATGGTATTAGGTTGCCCTCTTCAGTTGTGACAAAGTAGGTCGACTTCTGCAAAATTTTCAGTTTATTTTTGCTTTTTGTGCAGCATCTCAAATTATTTTTCCAGAATGAAGACAGTATTTTTTGTCATTTTGAAACTGTTACAAGTAAAATAGACAAATTATGTAGCTGAAGATACCTCCTCTTACACATGTGATAACAAAGATATCTGTGTGTACACAATCAGGTTGAAAGCCAATGCTCCTGTTGCACAGGATAAAAATAAGTAATTTGTGAGAGTCATTTTGTGAGAGGCAGCGTCATATTCTTCTCATGTCTCTTCTTCATCTTTGCAGAAGACACTATGCTACATGTCAGAATTACAGGGAATAAATTGACCCTTCACATCTCTGCTTCCTTTCCACAGAACTGACAGGATAGTCAGGTTTAATTCTGAAACAAAGTGTTTCTTGTGAAAGGAGGAATTGGCCATTGGGCAGAACAAATGCTGTAGTGCAGAGAAAGGACAGATACTCCAGACGAGGTTAAACCTCTCTACTTTAAAAGAGGAAAGCAGAATGTTTTGTGGCTCACTGGCCAAAGCTGTATTCCAGTGTGTCCAAGAGAATGCAAGAGATGAAACAATGAAAAAATTAATGGAGAACAAGTTGTGTACAGCATTTCCAGGCTTGTTTAAATTTGTGTTTTATTCCATGATGTAGCCTGATGAAGGTCATTGCCTGTACTGAGCACTAGCAGCAGCTATCAACATCAATAACCATCAAGAGTGCTCACTGCTTCTTGGGATCTGGCCCTCTCCACTTTACAAAGACTGGCATTCTAACATTGACCACTGGACCATTAAAAATATCTGTCTAACTCCTGAGGTTTAAATAATGACCAAATACAAATATATCTCTGCCTACATATATTTCATGTATAATTATTTTTTAATGCAACCTTTTAATTTTTCCCCCCTGCATATGTTAAATGCTTTAGTTACATTATAATACAATGGTATGTAGCCCTTGGTGCAATTTCAGAAAGGGAAGGAAACAATTTGACAGTGAGGAAGAAAGAGCTAAGCCATGCATACAATTGAGCTGCCAGCCAGGGCATGTTTGGATGGAGGTAGCAGGAAAGAAAGGGAAGGTGCTAGGAGAATCAT